AGAGAGAGAGAGAGAGAGAGAGAGAGAGAGAGAGAGAGAGAGAGAGAGAGAGAGAGAGAGAGAGCGCTCTGCTCTGCGTTGTCGTTGAGGAGCGCTCGTTGCCACGGCCGCAGCATGGGAAAACGAAGCATGGCCCCAACTGCCAGCCGCATCCGAAAAACACACACTAGCCACACTGGGCGTAGGCCCGCCAAAAAATGGGAAGATGGGAAAAGCAAGAATAGGGCCTCCCTGCGCAAGGATGACACGCATAAATCGAGAATAGGGCCTCGCTGCACTACTCTCCGCAATGCACAAAAGACCGAAACGATGGCAATGTATCTTTCCATGTTCTAGTGGAAAATTCAGTCTCATTTTGCCCATTCGGACTGTATCTTCCCATGCTCTAACGAAGGATTCAGTCTCATTTTGCACGTGCATCTAACAGCAACTTTGTCCACTCCTAGACACACAAAAAGAAAAGTGAAGTCTCATTTTTCACGGTTGGAGAGTTAGCACCGCCTCCGTAGATCTCCCAATGTGTAACGAACGGTCGGATGACCGGTCGACGCCCTATACCCACTTACACCTTTTTTTTTTTTTTTTTTTTTTTTTTTCCAAAACACCTTTATTTTTCAGTTTAAAAAAAAAAAAGAAGGTAAGCTATATTCTTCTCTCATCTATCTCATTTTTCTTGATAGTATGCATCTATCTCATCCTCTCACTATTCTATATATAGCATGGGAGAACACCAACCAACCCGGATCCCTCCCCAGCCCACAGGGTAGGTTGGCACCACAGCTGTGGTGCGAGGGCAAGGCTGTACCAGTCCCTCATCACGGTGACGAGGGGTGGGCCTTGCCGACGGGGGAAATCGGCGGTGCTAGCGCCGAGCAATGGCCAGTCACTGCACCTCCCCCAACCCCCCCCAACCCCACATGGCGGTGTCTAATGGCCAATATTGTCGCTGCATAGCAGCCAACAACATCAGCCAATGTCCTGCCAATGCTGGCTTGGGGGGCCGACGGGTTATCTCTAGCTGGTAGAACACCAAGCTTGCCCAGGCACATCGTGAGGCCGATGGGGATTGAACCCACGACCTCCTGAATGCAACTTCTGTGCCTTACCAACTGAGCTAGGCCCACTCTGCACGACAACGCATCGGACAATTGTGAATGCAGCTGGACAACACAAACTGCCACGGTGCACTCGTCCCCACCCGACCCTAACGGTAGGTTCTATACATTCGACGCAGCCAAAGACATCGGTCTATACGCAGCCATCCTGGCTGCGAACACAACGCACCCACATTTTGGCTGCACCTGACAGGAAATATAGCTTGTATACATTCATTATCACGAAGCCTTATATTCGGGGGACGACTGTAGGCCACTGGGTCGGGGAAGAAAAACAGAAAACGAATTCCCTTCCCGCCTCAGGGCATACTCACACTAGCACTTCCCATAATCCATCAGTCAGACCTTAATTTCGGCCACACTTGTATGCATCTGGCAGCAATTCCGTCCAGAAATAAGTGAAAAAGTCCTACCGGTAGTGTGAGTATGCCCTAAGTTCCAGCTTACGAAATGTCTCTCTTTCCCGGGTTCTCCGTTAATTACTCCGATGGTCCTCCCGAAGTTTCTGCTTACCTCGACGCTGTTTTTTTTCCAGCTTACAAGTGCCTGGATCTTCCACGTCAGCAACCGCAACAGATGCACTAACATCACATCATCCATTCCCAGAGGCCACGTCAGCCTAGATCCAAGAGAATGTATTTGTGAACAGTCTATTGAGTGATTGATGGTTAATTGGTCATCCTTGGTCAAGAGCCAATCCTTGGTGAAGCGGCTCTGGACTCTCGGCGCACAGATTATTGGTGTCGATCACGGAGCAGTAAATTTTCGGCGGTAACTGCCAGTTACCGCCAGACGGAAAACAGAGTAGTAAATTTTTCTGGGCTTTGCCAGACGGAAAAATGAAGGAAACTAACTTCGAAATCCACACGTTGTCTGAAACGAAAGTGATCGAGCAATCAATAGACCAGTAAGCAAAGGAAACAAGGCGCCACTTTTCTGGTGCGTTCACCGGAGGGCTATTAATAGATTGCGGCTGTAGGTGATTGATTACTCACATCAACTGGCATCCAATTGTAAGCTTGTAGTCAGCTGTATTTCTTTTCTTTCCATTCTTCCCGTTTTTCCTTTTCTTGTGTCGTTCTTCCTCTTTTCCATCCTGGGCGGTGCGTGAATGTGAGACGACAAAGCCGCGTGGTAAATCGGCTGGGCCCAAGTTGTAGTGACGGTTCTGCTTGTACTTCTGTTTGTCGGCTTGTGTGTGTGTTGTGTTGTGTGTGTGTGTGTGTGTGTGTGTGTGTGTGTGTGTGTGTGTGTGTGTGCGCATGCCCGCGCGTTAGGTCGACACATTTTGGTGAATGGCATGCTTGGCAACAGCGGAGAAAAAGTCGAGGCTTCTCTTCTTCTTTCTTCTTCTGGCTTCCTCGTCTTTCTTCTTCTTCTTCTTCGTCTTTCTTCTTCGGATTCCTTGGTCTTCCTTCTTCGTCTCGATTCTTCTGCTTCTTCATCATCCAAGCAGAGTCGGGGTTTGTCCTTATTCCTTCCTTGCAAACACATTGGAAAAAGAAACAAGAGAAAATGTTACGGGGATGCACGCTATAGGCTGATTGCTGCTCGGATGCACGTAGGCGTTGTTTTTTTTCAAACTTTTGTTTTAGTTTGTGACAATCTATGACGTGATTCATTATTTTTGCGATTTTTTTTTTTTTGTACCCTGGAATTTTCTAGAGAAGGGCGGCAGTTTGAGACTGTGGGCGACTGTGGGCGACTGTGGGCGACGAAGGGAGTGAGATGCGATGCTTCACTCGTGCAGCTTCCGAGCGATTTGGGTATTGAACGACAATGGAGACGTTTGTTTCTCGAAGCGCTATCCAACCGTGGAAAGGAAATGCCGCCAGCTCAGCGAATTGGCTGTCAGAGCTGCTGACGTGGACGAATCACAGCGAAGGATTGTGGAGTACCGCCCTTTACCGTACGATAACGATTTGGCCGGAGAATTCACTCGTGCGTACGTGCAACGAGACAAATCCGATCTGGAAGGCGCCATTCGGCTGACTCAGACCGTCCCTGGAACCGATGCTTGGGTAGACGATCCCTTCATGTCCTACCTGATCAGTTTGCAATTCGAGAGTCCGTGCGAAGAGGAGGGTGGGCATGACGAGGGTGATGAGGATGGTGAGCAAGACGACGATGATGGCGGCGGGGAAGGAGCGATGTCGAAGCCGCCGATCACGACATTTCGGCTATGGCCGCTCCTTGTTCATCAGAAGGGCGCGTTCTACGTTGTCGGCGCGCCGTTGGTAGAACCCCGCCACGTGGTGCGCTACGACGAACTGTGCACGCGGAACGATTGCGGCGGAGGTTCCGTTCCGCATTTAACTCGCGGAGGGCGGGGCGGCGGGAAGTTCACAGCCTCGATCTCCTCTCTCTTGGTCGATCTTCCCAGTGTGACCGTTGGATTTGCTCTCCTTCATGCTCTCGGCGCGCTGGCGAGCGGTGAGGTCGGAGAACTGGAGGTTCCCGCGCAATCGGCGGGCGCAGGAGGTGCGGGCGTAGCTTACACCATGGCTATGGCTAGCATCTCGATCAATCCGCTTGGCGGGATGTTCGACAGTCTCGCGGGAATGGCGCGCACTGCGTCCAAGTCGGCTCCCGCTCCCAGCATCGGTGCGGCGGCGTCGGGATCTGCCGTCGGGGCTGCTTCGGCTCTAGGATTAGGGTTGGGCGGAGGTGGGGGAAGCGGAGGCGGCAGCGCATTGGGAGGAGGAGGGGGAACAGGTGGCGGCGGCGTGCTTCCTCCTCCCCGCGTCCTTCGACACTCCGACAAAGAGGCCGTTCGCTCCTTCTTGAACAGCGCCATGCCGTTTGGCAGCCCTCTTGATCTGAGTGCCGTGACGCTGGCCGCCGTGAGACTCCATGGCTTCACTGCTTTGGCGGACAACGTTCCCGGTGAGCAGAAGCAACCGGCATGGAAACCGTACATGTTCAGAGGTAGGCAAAAGATATCCTTCAAGATCGTGGAGATCCTGTCGGCGTCCCTGTACGATCGTGATGACGTGTCAGATCTACTGACCGTTGCTGGTCGCGTTGATTGCCGTGCTGACGTGGAAGGCCTGCCAGATGTCACTTTCCCGCTCGTCTTCCCGGCCGCCGCCGCCTTGCAGTCTCTCACCGTGCATCACTGCGCTCACCGCCCTGAGACGGGTCATGCCATCAACACCGCCAACATCAGCGGCGGCGGCGGGGGGGGCGGCGGTGGGAGTGATGCTCCCATCGTTATCTCGTTTTGCCCGCCTCTCGGAAATTTCGAGCTCCTCCGATATCGAGCGGAACCGCGACCTCGTCAGTCTCCTCCTCTTCCCAATCAGAAACCCCCTCCGCCTCCGCTGCAAGGGTTCTATCAGTTGCAAATGGTCTCGCCTGATGAAGGCGCTTTCCTAATTAGGCTGGAGTTGTTGAAAGGTGCGGGGGGAATCAAACCCGCCATGGTGATGGAGTACTGCGCCTTTGTCATCTCTTTCCCGCACAGGCGTGTCGCCTCGCTGGAAGGGACGCCATCGCTGGGAACAGTGACGACGACAGAGCACAGCGTCGACTGGAAGATTGTGATCGGAGGGAGAACCGCCATAGCCAAACCTCTCGAGGTCAACATGTCTGGAACCATCAAGTTTGTCCCAAGTTCCCCTCAGTCCACAGTTGGTGGCGGCGATGGGAAGCTAAACGGAATGCAAGTAGACGACGAAGACGATGAGGATGAGGATGAAGAAGATAACAGCGACATTAGCGACGATGATGAAGAAAACGGCGATGGGGGGCGAAGGCGACGGGAACCGTGGAGCAAGCGGGAGTGGGAACGGACAGGGGGAGACGCCAAACTTGGGGGTTGGGCAGACCCATTTTCCAGGGGGCTGTATGACTACGCCAAGGCATCGTTCAAACTCACAGGAGCACCCTTTTCAGGGGTGTCGATCGATACGAAGGCTCTGTCAATCTTCCCGCCGACAACCAAGGTGCCCATCGAGGTGGCTGTGGAGGTGGTGTCTGGGGAGTACGTCTTCTGGAATTCAATCGGAAAATGCCCTTTTGTGCAACCCATGCCTAAAATCTTCCCGGCGGAACCCTCGTGACGACAAACAATAAATACATAGGACCACGTTGTTGTGAGAACTTTATCAATAAATGGCCGGCCGAGAGCAGGCAGGCAAACACAGAGAGAGAGAGAGAGAGAGAGAGAGAGAGAGAGAGAGAGAGAGAGAGAGAGAGAGAGAGAGAGAGAGAGAGAGAGAGAGATTCCTCGATTCTTTGGTCTGGACTAATATCGAGGCAAACTCCATAGTTAGGAGCATTGCATAACACACGAATAGGTATGTGACATTGTATATTGATATGTAAACAGAGAGATAGGGGGGGCAGGGGATGAGTAAGTTGTTCAACGGGAACGGCAGTTGACACACACTCCCTCATACGCACTCACACACACACACCGAGCGAGCGAGCGCCGGGGGGGGGGGAAGAGAGAGAGAGAGAGAGAGAGAGAGAGAGAGAGAGAGAGAGAGAGAGAGAGAGAGAGAGAGAGAGAGAGAGAGAGTCGCATGAGGGAGAGATGGTATGCATTTACAATGAAAGAGACTGTTTTATAAATTGACGGAGAGGAACGAGCATATATTAACACGTACCAACGTGAGGGAGCGCACATTTGGGGGCACGGAGACAGATTGTGTGTGTGTGTGTGTGTGTCTGTGTGTCTGTGTGTGTCTGTGTGTGTATGTGTGAGAGAGAGAGAGAGAGAGAGAGAGAGAGAGAGAGAGAGAGAG